GAAAATATTATGAACAAGACTGAATATTTTCTAAGATCTCCAGCTGCTGTGGAAATTATAGGTAATAACATGGTGAGAATGAACATGAGTGCAGTCAAGTCTTTTGCTTATATGCAGAACAACTAGCTCATAAGTCTATGTTTGAATACCTGTTAAAATATTTTACACTAAATATCTCAGACTTGACTGTCAGACTACAGATGGTTTGTTTAAAACTTGTTATAATTATTTTAGGATAAGATTCAGTAACTCAAATGCCAATTTAATAATTCCAGACCAGTATTGCAGTTATAAGTCTAACTGACATTATCCCATTACATTTTTACCATCATATTCATTATATGTTCATTTTTTCTTATATTTTTTGCATCAGAAATAAAACCTGTTCAATTTTACAGTACCTGTTAACTTGTATACTGATTAGAAATAAAACCTGTTGAATGTTACAGTACCTGTTAACTTGTATACTGAAAATTAATCTCATTGTGTTTCACTGAAGTTAGGATATACATCATCTAATCATGTGCAAACCTTACAAGCTTGTGCTTAGGTAACTTACTTCTCTATATAAATAAAGTTCGTGGACACCGAGCAGATAATTAAATAGATGGCACGTGGTTGCTTAAATAATCAAACAAATGCACTGTGGTGCATAGGATAAACTTTTGATGTAGCTGATGTTTCCAGCCTAACAATACCCATCATATGAGTCATCAGTCAATGTCATTCAGTGTTATTTTGCATCAAATAAATAAATAATGAATGAATCATCTTTCTTTCAGGAAGAAATATGAAAATCCATGTAAGTATTTGAGATAATTTCTTATTTTCTGCAAACCTAAAGAACAACACTCCAGCAAAATTCACTTTGAAATTAAATTTAAAAATTTCACTCTATCCTCTTTTTATAGCTTCAATAATTTTAAAACTACTACTTCCCTCTCTAATGAATAAATTGTTGCTCTAAAAAGACTTGTCATAACCCACTAATATTGTTATTACCTGACCACACAAAGGCAATGGTATTGTTATTTTGAATGAAAATGACCACCATTATCAGTGATCAGACATAGTTTAAACTCCTTCTTAAAACTGTCTTACACTCACCATCTAATGTGAAGAATTTATTCACACACACTTAGAACCTTAAAAAACAAAGGTTTCAGTTTTGAGTTTAATCCCATGGCTCTAGACTTGGTATTTTATATGGCCTTTAGAAAGTGCATGGAAAAAATTAAAAGATACTTCTCTTATACCTATCCTTTCCTCTCTGACCTCCCACTCCTACAGTCTTACAAAATATTTACTACTAAAGAGTTTACTGTCAATAATTCCTATAACTTTGTACAACAAGTTCTCTACCTTCTTGCCCTAACTACTTTATGACAAGCTTTGACATTACTTCTCTCTCCACTAACATTCCTTTTCTTAAAACTACAAAGATTTGTCTCTCCAATCTTTTTAAAGAAAATACTGCACATATTAATGGTTTAAATTGTAATGAGTTTAGATGTCTTCTCAAATTCTCCATTGCACAAATTCAGTTCCTCTTCTTAGAAAACCCTGTTCGACCTGATTGGCAGTGTAGCTACAGGGTCCCTATTTGGCCTGACCCTAGCCAACACTTTTCTTTACCACTTCAAAGATCGAAGGCTGGACAACTGTCTAGCTGAGATCAGACCATTCTCCTATAAACAGTATGTAGATGATACCTTGTACTTTTTAATTCTGAAGACTGTGTATGAAATTTTTGGATTATCTTAACTACTGTATTAAGAGTAATAAACACAAAAACAAATTATAAAATTATCTTAACTACCGACACCCTAACATTAAATTTACCTGTCAATTGAAACAAAAACAGACTACCTTTTTATAACTCCTTTTAACACACAATCGTAACAATTTCTCAACCTGAGACTTTTAGAAAAAACAAAATAAACAGACCTTATTTTTATTCCTTACATCTACAAACTGAATCTTGTTTCCTGTCTTATGGATAGAGGCTACTAAATATATTCTAGCTATCAACCTTTGCATAGTGGAATTAACTTCCTTCCAAATCTTCTAAAAAACAAAACATGCTATACAAATTAATACGTCAATTTTATAAATAATCTCTCCCTTTCTTTCCGGGGCAAGCAGAGCATTGTAAAAAAAAATAACTCCAAGATCTTTCTTTCACTTTAAAGCCAGATACCCAAGCTATTACATTCATGAATTTTTTTAAATTTTATACATGTGATAGCTGCCAGTCTATCTAATAGATACTGGTAAAACAATGTCATTTATAAGTAAGAATTCATGAACATGAGGTTATCTCTTTTAAATCTGAAAAATCTTTCTAATTCCTGTTCATATTTTATTTACTTATACTCACTCTTTCACAGATAATAACTAATAATCTGATGACTGGTTGCTTTCACCTAAAGCTATTAACGAAAGAAACAATGCAATAAGCACTTTCCCATTAAATCTGTTGTAATTGTCGTGTCATCATGTTTTATCATTCTCTATATTAACATTAACAGTTTTCAATTACAATATTTATTTTACTTTATGCTGAAGATAAATTTTTGTTTTGAATTTCACGCAAAGCTACACAAGGGATATCTGCACCAGCTGCCCCTAATTTAGTCGTGAAAGACAAGAAGGAAGGCAGCTAGTCATCACCACTCACCACCAACTCTTGGGCTACTCCTTAACCAATGGATAGCGGGATTGACCATTACATTATAACATTCCCACAGCTGAAGGGGCGAGCGTGTTTGGTGGGACAGGGATTCAAGCCTGCAACCCTCAGATTGCAAGTCGAGCACCCTAACCACCTGGACACCGATGATAAAAACGTCCAATAGTTTGAATAAACTTGTTGATAGGAATACTGTATCTGTGGTGTTTCTTATTATCAAATTATATCTCCTTTGCTTACTTTTGATTAGTTATAGATGATGTTGACAACCAACATTATTCATCTGGTTCATCAGTTCAGATTTTACTACCTAACTTAACCTTGGCTGATGAAAACAATGACAATAACCAGCATTATTAATGAGTAAATATGACTGTTGTTATTGTTTCCGTTTTTACAATCTAAGCAAGCCATGACTAATTTTGACTATCAGTATTACTAGTAGACCTAGTTCACTACAGTAAATGTGATTGCTTCATACTTTCCTGTTTTTTACAACCTGAACAAACCATGACTGATGTTGATTATCAGTAATAATAGATGATCTAGTTCATCACAGCAAATACAACTGATGTATCTTATTGTTTCAATTTTTATAATTTGAGCAAACCACGACTGGTTGTTACATTTTTAATCTCTCTACATGAGCTCAGTCACTTATAATGAACATGTAACCATGAAACTATACATATTATAGCTCTGAATGTAGTTAATCTTTATGAAATTTTGGTAAATATTACAAGTCTGTTGTACACAAAATATCAGACTTCTTACTAAAGATTCGTCTGTGAATTTGTAAAGCCTTTACTGAGTTAAACTGAGTGAAAGGTAATTTTTGTGTTAAGAATAAAAATAGATCAAATTTTCATATCTTATTTGCATAACATCTAAAAAATATCCTATATGACTAACTTTTTTTTAAGTAAAACCTTATCCTTTATCTCTTTTCTGTATACTAAAACTAATAGTAGTAAAACCTATACCAAAAGCTGAAAAATAATTTTTTACTTTCTAGAATAACTGCAGATTGTAACAAGCAATTACATTTATTTATCATAAACAGTCTGAGCAAGCCTAACTATTGTTGACTGACAATGTGTTATTAGTTGATCTAGTTCAGTGAGGTAAATGTGTAACAAAGTGACAAATCACTCAGCAAGATCTTGATCCAAGTATCAAGTTACATCATAAGATGACAGTCTTTGTGCATTCTTCAGGGAAAAATTTTATTTAACCTAAAGTTTAATTTTTACATTGTATTTACTTTTGTTTAAAAATATATATATACATTAAAAACCAAGAAATTTAGCACTTTAAGCCTTTTGCACTTAGTTGTATGGTTTAGTAAGTATATTTTTTTTCTACATTGATTGTCCAATCATAATGATTAGTTTAGTAAGTATATTTTTTTCTATGTTGATTGTCCAACCACAATGTATGGTTTAGTAATTATATTTTTTTTCTACATTGATTGTCCAATCATAATGATTACAAAAAATATACTTACTAAACCATACATTGTTTGCACAATCAACATAGAAAAAATATACTTACTAAACCATACATTATGTTTGGACAATCAACATAGAAAAAATATACCATACATTATGTTTTGACAATCAACATACAAAAAATATACTTACTAAACCATACATTGTTTGCACAATCAACATAGAAAAAATATACTTACTAAACCATACATTATGTTTGACAATCAACATATAACCTTTAAATATGTATTTTAAAACAAAAACATAACACAGTATGAGAGTATCCCAAAACTGCTATAATATATCTGGCTTTCTAACTAACCTATGGATTGGTTAAAAAATTAAAATCATATTAAAGTTTCATCCAAACTTATCAAGCTTTCTCTGCATATTATAATTTTTTGCTGGTAAAAGTCTTCTCATTTATGTAGTGTAGAAACAGCTCTTTCTCCCAATTACAAACATTGAATAGCAATTAGAGAATTTTCAGTTTTTTAAAAAGCAAAAGATACAGAAGGAGCATATCAGTGTGGAGTGAAGAAACGGTGGTATATCAGTAAAGCAAGAAGAGGTTGAAATTATATATTCTGGCACGTCAATATCTACAACCATACATTTTTAATTGGTTTTACAATCTGATGCTATTGTAAGGAAACAGAATATATCTACAGATGAGAAGTCATAGCACCACCATAGCATTTATTTAGATATTTTCTTTTGAAATTAAGAATAAAAACTTAGATTATATAAAAATTTCTATTATCGACTATGCTGTGACGCCTAGTGTACTGACATAAATTGACATCAAAGAAGTTCAGTGAAAGTTTAATTACATTTTTAATGTATCTATGTAAAAAGATCATGACATGCACACTTTGACCTACCTTTAACCTAAGGTTACCATAGGTTAAAATTGAATAAAGGACATTACTACTCTATGATGTCAGAATATATTGTTACAAAAGAAATGCTGTTTATTAACCTTCTTTGTAAACAATCTTTCAACACACATAAAACTGAAACATTTTACTAAACATGTAGATCTTAACTAGCTTACAATTTAAGGTTTAGCTTTCAGTATATATATATATATATACACATGTCAAGAAATCAAAACTTTTGAACTGTTAGATGTACCAATGATAAAAAAAATTAAATGAATATTTCACAAAGGAAGTTGGCAATACAGTACTGATTCCTACTGAAACTCCTCAATATATCCATGTCAATTAAGAACATTCAAACTACCAACTATAATCATATGAGAAATTACAAGCTGTATATGAAGTTTGCAGGAATCGTTTTTTGGCATTTAAAAATTTACATCCCATCAAATGTAGATATCAAGTTGAATGTATAAATACTATGAGTTATAATTTTTACGCTGTTAAAGTTTGAATTAAAAGAAATTTACAGTAGCTAAAAAATTATGCAAGTACTTTATGAAACCCCAAGTTTTATCTTTAATGTGCATTTGCAATTCTTCAGTTGTTTTTATTAGCTACAACTGTTAATGTCTAGAGAGAATATCTTTTAAACAATTACACTTATTACTGGTCCCTATTTGCTTCTACTACATTCATATCTTCTTTGTTTGTGTTCAAAGATAAATTACTTTGAATAAAAAAATAATTTATGAACATTCGCTACATGGGGTTTGTATCTAACAGCCACAGCAACCATCAACAAAAGTAACAAGCGTTTTTGGGATGTTAATTTCTGATTCAGAAAATACTCAGTCCAATTAAAAATGTTAACTAAAGCCATTGTCATTTTCTGAAATGTAGATTTGGCAAGGGTTCTGCTGCCATATGTGTAAAATCATCCATGCTCTTCTTAGCAGTTAGTGTTATTTCATCCATACTCTTCACTGTTTTGCTAGTTAGTTCCGTGACTTCTGTGTTAATTTTACTAATAACCCACTCCATGGCTTGCTTGCCCTGTTGAAATTAGAGGAAAATCTCATTATAGTCTGGCTATCAAGGTTTACATGCTGATAATGTGAAATAAACTAACTGGTCTAATCACTTTAAAATGGAGACTCTTCTAACTATACAAGTAACTACTTTCAAAATCTCTCACATTATTATTACTACTACTGTATTTAGGAAGGACCTAATAACAAAGAATAACTGTAATACATTAAATTTTATTTTTAAACTTAATTCAGTGAAAGTTTTACTTTTTTCCCTTTTGCTCTAAAAAACATCAACAAATCAATAACTCGACTTCAACCTTCTCATGTACTGTAAAAAACAAACTTTAGCTTGTAGTAAAACAAAATGTGTACTCTTTGAACATCAAATTGCTAGTGAACTAGTTTATAGCCAAAATGTTCATTTCCACAGTTTGGTAGAGAAATTAACAAACAAGAACAATCTACCACACCTTTGAATATGGTAAACTTTATATTTTACATTTGAGATATCGAAATAACTGATTATGCTAATGATTTAGTCACATGATCCTAGCAAGTAGATTTCTATACAAAGAGTGGACTGGAGTTAAGGCTTAAGAATAAAAAGGCAGTGATAGCATAAGAAAGTCATTTCATACATCTTCTGTCAACATTTATCAGACGAAATATAACTGTACCTTGCCAGAATTAACTGATATCGTTCTAGCAATAAAGTCTTCGAGGTAGCTACTCAGAGGAACACCATGGATTGTAATAACTGCTTCTTGTTTAACTAATGTGCTGCAACGAAAACAAAAATCTTAAAAATATATGTTTTAAAAGGCTGATAAAGAATTTCAGTAAGTGATGCTTGAGATATACAACATAATTCTGATAATCATTGTTTCAAGCACAATAAATTCACAAATGTTGTTCAAAAAATAATCATACTCCACTTTAACTTCTTCAGCACGGGCTCGGTCCCTGGGAACGACCTTATAGCCATTTTGTGCTTGTTATAGTTTTCATGCTATAACTTTTAAATTAGTAAGCGAATGT